CTCCTGCCTCCACCTCCCAAGTAGCTGGGACCACAGGTGCCCGCCACAACACCCAGCTATTTTTTGGTTGCAGCCATCATTGTTGTTTGGCGGGTCCGGGCTGGGGATTCGAGCCCGCCACCTTAGGTGTATGTGGCTGGTGCCTTAGCCGCTTGAGCCACAGGTGCCGAGCCAGAAGAACATTTTCTAAAATTATACTTGATTTGTTTTTCTAAAGTTATTTGTAATTTATCATGTTTGTTTTTAAATCCACATCAAAGGAGGGATGGCTTTCTTAAAAATGATTGATAAACCCTATTGAAGCGGGTGTGTCTGATATCCAGATTATTTGGCTGGTATCAATAATCCCACTTCAAAATTTAGCTCTAACATTTCTGCACGTTGACCTATTTTATTCACTTTATATCTTTGGAAACTTCCTAAGTGCCAGACGCTGTGAAGTTCTGTGAGGGTTACAAAGAGGAAAAAGACCTATTCCCTGTTTTCAAAGAGTGTATGGGCTAGTGGGGGATTTTAGAGCATGCATTCAACACATGTCAGCATGGATCTAAGAAAAAACATTATCAAAGATTTTTAAGTTCCTAAGACTGGCGTTAGCCAGTCCTCTGCATTTTTCTTTATAGCACTTTATCTAGTTTCTTTCTGGAAATTTGGGGGTTTAGAAATAAATTTTTCTTTCTTTTTTTTTTTTTTTTGGCTGGGGCTGTGTTTGAACCCGCCACCTCCGGCATATGGGGCCGGTGCCCTAACCTTTTGAGCCACAGGTGCCACCCAGAAATACATTTTTGAAAAGTGCACAGAAGTCCATTGTAGGCTGCTGTCATGGAGTAGTACAACTAATGTTGTTTGGTTAGACTGAAAAGGAGGGGATAATTCTACTAATTCTGTCCAGGGGGTGTTGTTTGAGATCATCCTATTAAAATTGGAATGATAAATGTGTATGGAGAAGCTTCATAAATATGTACGTATATGTCTTCTGTGCAGGATCAGCCTCCAACTTCAGCTTTTTCCGGTGGATGAGGTCTCTTCTGATCCCCTCCTGCAGGTATGTCCCAGTTTGGGGCCAGTACCAGGATGGATGAGTGTCCGGAGTCCTGGGAGGTGCTGAGAGTGCCACGTTCCTGGCCAGGCTTGTGGGGTGGGAACCTGACAACTGGGAACCTCCAGGAGACCCAGATGTTGCTCCTCTCTGTCCTCAACCACACTCGAGCCACCCTCTTCCTGTCTTATCCTCAGTCGTTGTGAGCAGAGCCTTTATTTAAAATCTGATTGCTGGAGTGATAAGTCAACAGTCAACTCTTAGGGAGTTTACAGCCTAAGCAACATTGGCATCAATACATAATCATGCTTGAAATTAAAGGCCAAAGGAGAGGCAAAGCTAGGACACACTTTTCCACCTGAGTCAGAGGTAGTTGACCTGACCATGCAGAGGCCAAGTACAGAAATAAAGTAGAGATCCCGGAGGCTCTCTGTGGGATCCATGTCCAGATACACGGGGCAAGGGAGCAAACTTTCCTGGGAGGTGAGAGGAGGCCTCGTGGAGAAGGCAGCATTTCCCAGGTGCCACAATCCCTTTCCTTCTCCCTTACTCTGGCAGCACTGATGCTTCCTCTCCTTGTAAGGCCTCAGGATTCCAGGGGGAATTGCTCCCACTCTTCTGTCCATTTCAAAATCAGTGTGGGTCCTTCCTTGTAGGCCAGGACAATCCAGGCAGAACCCATCCCCTTATTTATTTGGTTTCATTTTGTTGATTTGTTTCTGAAACTCTACATACTGGTTTATATTTGCCAGTATTTCTACCTCCATGCCCAGACACAGCTGGTGGATCAGTAGACCCTTTCCTGCTGATCCCAGCTGCAAGTTTGAATCCTTTTTTTTTTTTATTGTGGTAAAATACACATAAGATTTACCATCTTAACCATGTTTAAGTGTGAAATTCAGTGGCAGTAACTAAGTTTGTATTGTGCAACCGTCACCACCATCCTTCTTTAGAACTTTTATTTTCCCAAATAGAAACTCTCTACCTGTTAAACAATAATTCCCACTCCCCAGAGTCCTTGTTAAGACACCTCTTCACAAGCATTGCCAGCCCTACCGACAAGAAGGCTGTGGTGTTAGAGCTTGGGTTGAAGAAAAGAAGGGACAAGGTGGGGAGCGGGCCCTGGGATGGGGGCGTAGTGAGTACTCCATCAGCTGCTTGGGCAGGAGCTATAGCACAGGGGGGTGACCTCTTTGCCTGTTAACCAGTTCTGAGGCACACAAGGTTCTGTGATTCTGGTCATGAAACACCTACACTGACCTCCTTTCCCTACAACTTAGTCCTAAGGGCAAGTAGAGTTTAAATGCAAATAGACTTTGTATAGACGCTGCCTACAGATTCTGGAGCTGCAAGTGGTTTCTGGAGGATAATATTTGTCCTTGCCTGAGTTACAGGGATATTCTTAGTCATTGCTGGTTTTAAAATCTAAAAATGGCCATAGAACGTCACCATTCCTTATGCTGTACTCTGAATTCCTGGGATTTCACCTCAAAGGTCACTGTAGTGCTATGTAGGAGGAAGAATGTATTAGGAGGAGATTATTCTTAGAATAGGGCAATATTTTAGCTGCAACAGAATAAAGGCCCAGGTTCTGTGGGCTATGCTGGTATCACCATGGCTGCTGGGAAATATTTTGGGATGGTTATTCAGGAGGGTGAAAGGATTAAGAAACGGTGATCTATTTAAAACTAGAGCTTTTAAAATAAATCATTATTTATCACACTTGTGATTCTAATTAATCACATTCATTTTTAATAAATAATAATTATTAATACATGTGTATTTTTTGCTTTGTCATTTTGAGCCACCTCATCCCTACCAACTATAGCCCCAAGTGCCCTTTGAAGCCAAAGAAGGAGAATGTGGAGTATGTTCAGGCAAGAGCATGCGTCTAGGTTACTTTCTGATACACCTACCATCCCCCGTAAGTAAGTGAAGTTAGGCCTGACCTTGAGAAGGCTTTCCTTCCTGCAGCCCTAGCAGCTGTTCAGATGAGGACTCTCAAGCCATTCTAGACTAGACAGTGAGGTATGTTATTTCCCCATCCTCAGAAGACTATAATGCTTTCACCTGGAAAAGAAAACAACGAAGAAAAAGAATTAGCAAATACAAAAACAAAATTTAAAAACACAATATATTGGCAAAACACTTGTTTGTTGACTGGTGTGGTATTTTTGTCACTTTCTAACCTAACTTTTTGGTGATTCAGCTTTTAGAGAAGTTAATTCACTTCTCAGAAACCCTTGCCCTGTGTAATTTAGATGTGTTCCCAACAAATGGCTGTAATGCCTTGGTCATGTGAGCCAAACTCATACAGCAGAAGGCTTTACCAGAGTCAGCCGAAACTTTCTGCTAAGTTTCATAGATTTATAACATTAGATTTCTACATTTACAAAATTCTTAAATATATTCCTTACTTAAACAACTGAACCTTACTACTGGTAAAGTGGACGATTCTTTCAGAGCAAAATTGTTAAGAGGAAGTCCATGCCTAAGTCATGACTTAAGGACCTAACAGAGACCGAAGGAACTGGGAAGATGAGAATACAGAGGCCAAAGGAGATAGATAGGCTTCCGGAGGCCGCTGAGCTGACTGGGGACAGAACTGTGCCTGCACCTGACTTCCATGGCTCCCTGACTGCCACTCCTGGCTTTCCTTGCTCCACTCTCCTCCAGCCCTTTCCCATGTATCCCTAGCATTTTTCCTCACCACTTTATTCCAACTCTAGCTCCAACTTCAGCTGCATGCAGGGACTCCAGTTGACAATGGCATCTATACCCAACTTGTCTGTTGTCTTGAGGCCACCTTACTGTGAAAAGCCTTTGCACTTTCCCTCTTAGCTGCCTGCCATGTAAACCTTTGCTCTGAAAACCATTCCTCATTCAGCTGTCTTTCCAAGGAACCCATGAGAAGGTTTTTCTTTTCACTCTTCTCAATTTTCCAACCTCTCCATTGTTATTTCATTTGACAAAAAAGCAAGGAAAGCTACTGAGCCATAACACACACCATCTGGAAGGCAACATCTCTCTCTGTGGGTCGCCTCCTTCCTGTTGGGTAGGTAGTTTTGTACTCTTCTTTTTTTTGAGACAGTCTCACTGTGTTGCCCCGGGTAGAGTGCCATGGTGTTATCATAGCTCACAGCAACCTCAAAGCAATCCTCTTGTCTCAGCCTCCAAGTAGCTGGGACTACAGGTGGGCACCAGCACACCTGGCTAGGTTTTTATTTTTAGTAGAGCCAGGATCTCACTCTTGCTCAGGCTAGTTTTGAACTCCTGCCTTGGCCACCCAGAGTGCTAGGATTACAGGCATGAGCCACTGTGCCCAGTCTGTTTTATACTTTCCTACTAAGGGCAGATAACATCTCTCTTTGTTTCATCTGATACTTAAAATTTTTGACTTTGTGAATTAGTGTACATACAGCTTTCAACAATTATGTTTTAAACATCTAAATACATGCTGAATAATTCATACAACCAATATTTATGCAAATAATTTCTCGATCCCGAGTAGACTCGTCTCCCCTCTCCAGTCTCCACTTGTCCTCTCCTTTTCACTGTCCTCTGTGTCTCTCTCACTGTAGGAGCTTACAGTCCCCCCAGGAACAGATAATTTTGGCACTATCCCTGGCTAGGGTTGACATGGAGATGACTCAGCTCACCCAGGAGAATGCAGACTTTGCCACTCGGGACCGCTACCACCATTCCTCCTTCGTGAGTCGCGAACAGCTGATGCCTCAGTACTAGAGAGCAGCCCTGGGACCTTCCTCTTTTGGCGTTGTCCTGCGCACAGTGGACTCAAGCCCTGGAACCGTCATGGAACTGCTTTTCCTCAATAAGAAACTCATAGTCCATCCTCCAGCTGCTGCTTTGGACAATGGAAATCCGTGTTCCGGTCTAGAGTACTATGCCCAGCCCCGGTAACGTCAGGAATGGCAGTGGCCTCCGCAGCACCATGCCCGGTCTGAAGAGTTCCCCGTCGAACAGCGGGACCATCAGATGTGGAGAAGCAGAAGCAGATTGCTTGTTTTGAGGGCCACAATAAACGGTCATTTTCATTCTTATTGTATTAATTTATTTTGAATATATAATATACTCCCATGGCTCGAAATCCCAAAGTATACTCATATATAGCGTGAAGGGAGACATCCCTCCCATCCTTGTTCCCCGCGGGCTCTGATGTTCATGTCCCCTGGCCCAGACATAACCACTGGTCTCAGGCATACTTCCAGAGTTTTTTTATGAATATCCGAGCAAACAGATACGTGGATTCTTATCATTATCCTTTTATCCACCAGAGGTAGTAAGTATGTTTTATGCACATTTTGCACCTTCCTCTTCCCCCTTAGCAATCTGTCTTGGGTTGCTGCCTTTCCATATCACTACGTGTGTAGTTTCCTCGCTATGCTTCATTGTATGGATGGGCTACAACTATTTTCACCAGTTCCACAGTGATGGACATTCAGATTCTTTATTATTACAATCAGTCCTGCAGTGAATGATCTCGTACATATGTACAAGCATAAAGTATTTCTGTAAGATAAATTTTCAAAAATCTTGTATTTAATTGCAACTAGATTGTGTAAACAGTAATCGTAATCAGGTCTCACCCTGGGTTCCCTGCAAGCCGACGTTTAGGAGAGAGCATCCAGGGAAGTGGGAGCAGGAGGGGCGGGAGGGAGGGCAGCAGCCACTGAGATCATGGCACCTGCACGCTGAGCCTCGAGGGAGAGGACTCTTTGAGAGCCGGCAGGAACATGAGACGCAGGAAGGGATCAGAATTTATCTACTGGCTTCTGTTTCCCATTATCAAAGATTAGCTTCACGGGGGCTTTAACTACCCCAGCGATTGTGATTTGCACAAGCGTGAGTGCCCAGCAGTTCCACACCAAGCAGAAACTGGCCACAGCCTACCCAGAACTGGTTGCCATGGTAGTGGCTCAGGTGGAACAAATGGCCTCAGCCCCAAAGACAGGTGAGGCAGAGAGGATCTGAGGTGGCACACAAGGGGTGTTATATACAGCCTGTATATTGCCAGAGGTCAGTAGTAAGCACAGGTTGTCATAAAGGCAAAACACACATGTCACTGGGTCATTCAGGCATGGGATCCTTCTCACTTATCTAGAGGATGCCCCGAAATGTCAGTATGCTGGGTATATATGACAGTAAGACTAGTAACATCTTCTCAGATAGACCGAGGGACAGATTCCTGGCCTGTAAGTCTTTACCAAGGAGTCCATAGTTGTAGGTGATAACGTCTGAGTGAGTGAGGATTGTATCAGACATTTTGGGACCATGAATATCTCCCCTCAGGCTCAGAGTCTGAAGCTATGTCCCCAAATCCTAGACTGTGACCTATTAGGAACTTGCCTGCACAGCAGGAGGTGAGTAGCAGGTGAGTGAATGAAGCTTCATCTGTATCTACATTAGGGTTGGGCTTTACTCATCCTGAAAGTTTGAGATGCTGCTGGCCCCATACAATAAGGGTGACGGGTTCAAACCCAGCCCCGGCCAAACTACAACAAAAAAATAGCTGGGCATCCTGGCAGGCACCTGTAGTCCCAGCTACTCAGGAGGCTGAGGCAAGCGGATCATCTAAGCCCAGGAGTTGGAGGTTGCTGTGAGCTATGATGCAACAGCACTCTACCGAGGGTGATAAAGTGAGAGTCTGTCTCTAAAAAAAAAATCTCTAGTACCAAAAAGGTTGGGAAAAGCTGGTGTAAAGATTGATCCATCCAGGGATTCATCCCCCACCTACCCATGCATCATCATTGATCCACCCATCTACTTGCTCACTCACCCACCCATGGACTTACCCATCTACCTAGTGATCCAGCCATCACCCATCCATCCATGGCTGAAGAAACTGCACTTACAACTTTGTACGTAGGTGCTTGAAACTACCTCACCTGAGTTAGTACACCTCACTGATCTCAGAGCTTTATTATATAAAAATATGATCACAGACCTTTCAGATGTAAACAGACTCCTCGGGCACCATCTCAAACTTTCAGGATGAGTAAAGCCTAACCCTAAAGCATTCTCAAAGTCAGGGCTAGGGACCAGAGCAGGAGTGGTTTTTTCCGATATCTCTGGGAGTTGTGTTAACAAGTCCGCTGACCTAGACAATGGGGTGCACCCCACACAAACAATTATAAATCAGTGCTGGGGTTTAAGGCTCCGGATTCCATCATCCTTCCTTCTCTCCAGGTTTCTGACTGAGGGAGTGTTTTTCAGGATGAGGAACAATCCACCAGTTTATGTACTAACACCAGGATAAAGGTGCAAAGCTTTGGTTAAGAGCTATGGAGGAGAATGCAGCTTAGATCAGAAGGTTAGAACAAGACATCTCAAGTCTAACTTTCTTCCTCTTGAGTCTAAGATTCAAAAGACTCCAAAGACCCTTGGATGAGGAGCTGGAACCAAGACCAAGAAAGTCCATCTGCTGGAATGTCCAGCTTGCCTCCTCACCCAGTAACAGGTGGGCAGAGGTTATGTGGTGACCACAGGTTACCTTTCAACTCAGGGCCTCACCTACCAGTTAAAGGTGGTCCAAGCTCTGACCAATCAGGTAGGTCTCCCGCCCCCAGTGGGTGGGGGGACAAATGCGGGATAGTGCCAGAGAGGCAGAAGTGTTCCCTCCCCTTTGGCAGAGGAAGGCTCCTGGATGGCAGTTCCTCTTCACAGGCAGAGGAGGAAAGTGAGGAGAACTAAAGAGACCCCAGCAGTAGTGAGAGCAGGGACAGAACCAGACACAATGTCTGTGGATGGGCAGAGGAGCCCCTAAGCCCTTCTGACAGTGGTGGTGGTGGTGGGGGTTCCCTGGAGGAGATAAATACTGTAGCCAAGTAGTTAGCCACAGAGAGGAGGGATGGTGTGTTCAAAGGCGAGGAGATGAGAAATGGTGTGGGGATTGATGGGGCATAGAGCCTGAGGCAGCTCCAGGCAAGCGAAGTATCAAAAGGCAGGCAAGATCAGATTCTGAAGGGTTTATATGCAGTTCTTAGTGCCAGAGAAGAGGAGGCTGAGGAATGAGAAAGAGCTCTCCTTAAAATTTCATAAGGCATTATTTAAGAAGTAAGTCTGCCTGATGTAGGCTCGGGAGAAATCCAGCTTCAGCTTTGCTCTTTCCCTGATAAGTGCGTTGCTGTTTCTGCTCTTGTGGTTATGTGGGAGTGGGTGGTCTTGGCGGGAGGGGCAGAGAGGCTGAGGAACCAGCCCAGGCCTCTGAGAAGGGGAGGATTGGGGAACAGTCACTGAGGCGGTCAGAGCTCACAGTAGGCAGAGCTGTGGGGAGCAGAGTAGACACAGGGATAAAATGAATAGCACATGCAATCAAGATGTATGACTTTGCTATTGCTGTGGTAACAAATTACCACTAATTTAGTTTCTTAAAACAACACACATTTATTTCCTTATACTTCTAGAGGTCAGAAATCTGAAGTGGCTGGGCACGGTGGCTCATGCCTGTAATCCTAGCACTCTAAGAGGCTGAGGCAGAAGGATTTCTTGAGCTTAGGAGTTCAAGACCAGCTTGAGCAAGAGTGATACTCTGTTTCTACTAAAAATAGAAAAACCAGCTCAGCGCCCATAGCACAGTGATTACGGTGCCAGCCACATACACCAAAGGTGGTGGGTTCGAACCTGACCCAGACCAGCTAAACAACAGCTAAACAACTGCAACAAAAAAAAGAATAAAAATAGCTGAGCGTTGTCGTGAGCACCTGTAGTCCCAGCTACTTGCGAGGCTGAGGCAAGAGAATCGCTTCAGCCCAAGAGTTTGAGGTTGCTGTGAGCTGTGACACCATAGCTCTCTACTAAGGGTGACATAGTGAGACTCTGTCTCAAAAAAAAAAAAAAAGAAGAAGAGAAAAACTAACCAGGTATTGTGGCAGCTGCGCGTAGTCCCAACTACTTGGGAGGCTGAGACAAGAGGATCACTTGAGCCCAAGAGTTTGAGGTTGCTATGATGCTAGCCTGGGTGACAGAGAGAGACTCGAAAGACTTCCTCTAGAGCAAATGACCCACTCCTTGCTGTGTCTCGTCCCCTCCAGGGTCACCTAGACACCAAGAGGGTGGATCAGCAGCGGTGGCTGCACAGGCTCGGGGTTATTCCACACCCTTCACACTTCTCCGCAGGCAGGGGAATCACGGAAGTCTGTACTTGTGAGCCCTGCTCAGGATCGGCACATCTTGGAGGTGCACCTGGGCTCCTTCGGGATACTCACCAGCAGAAACAGATGCCAGTTTGTCAGCTTGAGGCAGGAAGTAGAGGCTTAGGCCCCTGACTCTTGAAGAGGTGTCTTCTTGAGGAGAAAGTCACACTCAAGTAAAAGGCAAAGCAGATAGCTAGGAAGACCCACCAGCATCAGGAGCCCCCCGCTGGCTGTGCTCCTGGGAATGCCGCCCATTTGTAGCAACGAGGCTGGCACCTGCTCCCTGCTCCCCAGCTCTGATGGGCCGGGGGGGAGCGGGGGACCAAAACCCCCCACCACTCGCTGAGGAGAGGGGGCCACAGCCACACTCTTAAAGAGGCAGAGTGCTTCTCTAAATGGGAGTCTCTAAAATAATGGACAGCCTGGGATTTTTCTGTTTTATTTTGCATATGTGTGTGGTTGCACTTTCCTGTTTCTGTGAACGAAAGCACCATATCAAAAAGCTGAACTCGTCAAATGTGAATGAAGCCTGGCTTAAAATATGGGCCATGTGGTATACATCAGATTCACTTTGGGAAGCTCTGAGGGCAGGTGGCGTTTCAAAGGATTAGCAGTCACAGCCCAGCCGTCAGCAGGAGGGCTCATGAGTTCTGATCTGTGAGATGTGACATATACCATATGTATTAGGAGGCTGATGATGGAGAAAACGACACTGGTTTCAAATATGAACCCCAAACTGAAAGTCACAAGGAGAAATGCTCCAAATGGCGGTGTCAATTTCTAATTGAGCTGCTTCTCACATGAGCAATTCACTGTGACTCTGTGTGTTTGTTTTAGGTGAGTGAGCTGACTGCTGTGACAAACAGCCCCCA